CAGTTACATTCATTATTGGGATGTTGTACCTTTACATGACAGGTCTTGGTTCTCATTTTTCCCCATACCCTTGCTTTCCCTTCATCCCCTCTTCACCTCCCCATTTACAAACACTTTATTTGCATTTTTTTCATTTTCTCATATTTTTTGTTTTCCCTTATTACCTTTCCCCTACCCTTCCCACTTTCTCTACACCTTTAGCCCTTTTCTTCCTGTTTCACATTGTCAATTATCTCTTTAGGATCTTATGTGCTATTATAGTTTATTCACTTCACTTCTTATATTTTAAAAGTTTGAAATGCTGCCACCTAGAGACTATTATTTCATAACAATAAACATAGCAGTGATCATAAAACACCACTAAAATAGAATTTGGATATTCTTTCTAAATGTCACTTTAAAATTCCATAATGTGAATGATTTCTCTTTCCACATAAAACAAATACAATCAAGCAAAAATAAAAATTCCTAGTAGAAGTAAATAGCACCTCTCATGATTAATATTTCTAAACCAATAGTCTGTCACAAGCAATGTGCTACTTTTGTTTTCAGAAGAAGAATCTCTCTCTCAGAACAGAATGGAAATTTATACAAGTTAAGAACATCTTATATTCTGGTTCACCATTGATGCCTGGGTGTTGAGGTACTCCCTGGTCGGCCCTGATAAATCATAAATTTCTTCAGAAAAGGGACCAGTTTGTAACTTTATGGAATATTTTCTAGAGCCTAATCTACAGATTCTGTAATAAAAATAAAATGGTGAAGGACGAGGACTAAGTAGCTAATTAAGCTCTTTGGTCACAATTTCAAATTGCATGTGGATTTAAAAAAAAACAAAACCATTATTTCCAATTCACAAAAAATAATGCTTTGTTAATGCTACTCATTATGCAAAAAAGGAAAATCTAAAAAATATATTGAGATTTCCACACTTTTCATTGTTATATAATCAGTGCATCCTTTCCAGCCTTCGTATGTCTCTTGCAGACATATGGCTTTTGAAAATTATTATTGCCTTTGGTTCTTGTTAAGTAATCTTTGTTTTTCTGTTTTTACTCTTTCACCACTCCCTTTCCTCTGGACCAATTTCTATCCACCATCTACAAAAAAAAAAAAAAATCCACTGCCACTTACAATTGCCATATCTTCAAAGAGGATGGAATAAAACAATCCTGGATATATTAGAGATATTTTTATGTTATTTGATAGAGAATGACACATAGAAAAAGATAAAAAGAGTTCTACTCCCAAGCAATGTTCTAGCTACAGTCCAATAAATACTTGGGAGTTTGCAAGGTTCTGAGTAATAAACCAACAAGCATTTCCTCACACACTGACCCAAGTGGCAACCCCAGTCTCTGATCATCCTCAAAAAGTGGTATACGATCACTACAACCCACCTATGTAGTGGCTCGACATTTAGGTTGTACATAGCGTGTTTATAGATGAGATATAAACTTGGATCTCTATGTTCTTAACAAAGTAGGATTTAACTAAATGTTTCTAAATACAACCATAATACAATTATAGATTTGAATTAAGAGCAAGCATCACAATTAAATAATATAGCACACTTATTTTGCATCAAAGATAAGAAAAGTATCTGTATTTTTTTTCCTCACTAAAGTATCAGGTTTTTCTCTCCCACAGCCAAACTGAAGACTCTTCTGTTCCTTTAAAGAGAATACAAATCAAATTCTAGTTCCTTTTAAACTCCATACTGAATTAAAAATCTGATGCTGTTTACATTACTATGAACAATGGCTTTGAATTTCTTTCAGTAATATTTCTTTTTCACTTTACAAAAAATAATACAAAATTTCATGGCAAAATAATAAGAGAATAGCAATAGTCATTACACTGTATCATTATTTTCAAATTAGTTATTCAATAACAAGATTTTCAGTTACAAAGATGAAATGGATAATAGCACAAAACTTTCTTTTCAATGAACTAAAAGAAACCTGTAGTGTAACAGAAAAATTAGCATATAAATTAAAATGTTTTGAAGCAGCAGAATAGCTAATTTATTGAACTTCTTGTTCTATTTATCTACTATTTTGCTCTTTATTTTATATATAATAATTTCTAATTTAAGAGAAACTGTGATATTTAAACTTATATGTCTAACTTGTTTCACTTTCT